GAATGCTATCTTCACTTCCTTGTTCTCTCAGAGACCATCACCTGCATCTGCTCGGACTAGCTGCATGATTTCTGTGATGTTAGGAGGTTCTGTTTCTCTGGGCGTGCTCACTGAGGAAGCTGGGAATTCCTGGTCTATCTTCCTCGTGTGGTTTTCAGGCTGCTCTTGCTTGTCTGTCTCCAGAGCCTTCCAGGTTGTCATCTTATATTTGAGCTTTTTTGCTTTGAACCTCTTTGTATCTGAATTTGCTTCTCCAGGCTCCTGCTGATATTCTGTGGGTGTTGCTTAATGGAATGTTCATCAGTATGGTCACTGTTCCCTCCATGCTTTCCTGATCTGGAGTTTGGCCTGATCTCAGCTGTATGTTGCCTACCTCCTCTCCCATGGTGTATATGAGGAAATGCTGCCTCTTTCTTTCAGTTCAGCCCTGGCAACACAGCCTGTAATGGGGGCTTCTCCCCTGTGTCTGGCAGTAGGATCCAGCCAGTTGTGACACTATGCAGACAGGAGCAGGGAGCATCGAGGGGCATCTGCGCAGTCTTAGAACAGAGGTAAGTGCTTTATCATGAATAGTTAGCAGTACTTCTCAGTAGAGTGAGCCCTGCAACATTAACCCTTTAAGGGCTTGGCTTGCGAGTTACAGCACATAAAAGCAGCCCCGGGCGCACTAGCTCACTACCCATCCACACTGGCAAGGCACGGCTAGAGCGCTTCTGGTACTCCACCTCGGCAAGTAGAATAACATTTGATGCGCCTCCACTGGAGCGCCCCAGCATCATGTGAATGAGGTGTTGCATTACTGCACTCTGATCAGCCTCCGGAAACGTCCAATGATCCCCTAAAGCCAAGTGGCCACTCTTGTCATTGTTTTGGATATGCCCTTTGAAACCTCCGTTTGAAAAGCCGGCTGCTTATCTGCTCCAAGACAAAGCAACCATTACTCTGGAGTGCTGTGTGTGTGAGAGAGAGAGGCGGGGGAGGGAAGTGGGGATCTGCTGCTGTCTGAACTTACAAGACAGCATGCTGACATGCTCTCAGCCCTCCAAAAACCCACTCTCTCCCCCCACATACACACAACACACTCCCTGTCACACTCCATCCCACCCCGCCATTTGAAAAGCACGTTGCAGCCACTTGCATGCTGGGATAGCTACCACAATGCACTGCTCCCTGTGGCCGTTGCAAGAGCTGTTAATGTGGCCACATCAGTGCGCGTGCAGCTGTCAGTGTGGACAGACTGCAGCGCTTTCCCTACTGCACTCTCTGAAGGCTGGTTTAACTCAAAGCGCTCTACATCTGCAAGTGTAGCCATGCCCTGAGTGCCTGTCAGCCCTTACACAGAAATTAGTCGGCAACACTGGTGTTGCAATTAAAAAGTCAAATAGCTTTCAGTTGGGCAGATCACTCTCCAGAACCCTTGCTGAGAAGAGCATTTGTAGGAAACCAGTGATTTCATTGCTGACAACAACTGCAGTGCTACGGTATGATGTCATGGGATGAATCATGGAACCAAGCAAGCAGCCCTTTGTCCCCCTAGGTAAACAACTCTGGGAGAATCCCAAACAGAATCATTGCCCACCTTTCACAGGCACCTTTTGTCCCCCATTCACAGGCACCTTTTGATGTTTGCTTGGTTTATTGGTTTTCGGCCACTTGTGTGGAAAGTACGAAAGTGGACAGGTGGAAATGTGGACACCTTGTTCATGTCCCATTTCATGAGTGCATATGTGAACAGCCATTCGCACGTGGAGGTATGTACATGTCTCGGTCAAGGATCATACATGTGCCACCCATTGGGCTCTAAAACAGTGCAGAGAGCTGCATTGCTAAGAGAGCGCTGCAAAATAACAGCCCACCATGTACTGGGGGAAGTACAAAGTAGTTGCAGGGACAAAAATGACAGTGAATCTAAGGGCACGTCTTCACTACCCCCAGATCAGTGGGTAGCAATCGATCTATCGGGGATAGATTTATCGCGTATAGTGTAGACGCGATAAAATCGATCCCTGATCGCTCTGCCGTTGACTCTGGAACTCCACCGCAGCGAGAGGCGGAAGCGGAGTTGACGGGAGTAACAGCGGTCGACTCGCCGCCATCCTCACAGGCAGGTAAGTCGACCTAAAATACGCGAATAGCGTAGTGTAGCCCTAGCCTAAGTAAGCAGGACAAGCAGCCTTCAGCAGAACACAGTCTCTGTCAAAGCCATGCTTTTTTTTATATCACAGCTCATGATTGTTGAAGGAGACAGGAGATGGGGTAGAAGGATTAAATGTGATGCGAGATGTTAATCCCACAGCAGGAAGGAGATTGCAAGCTCTGGATAGTGAGTGGGTATAAGCCAGGCCAGGAAACCAGAATTCTTTCGCTTCTCATGAGTCTGAAATTATGCAACAGCTAACACAGAAAACACAAGTGAAATAGAGTTTGTGGCTCAGAAATGTACTCTTTAAACATGCTGTACGCAACCCTCCTCCAGCCCCCCCCCCCCCCCCAAACCAGAACCTGTACACAGTAGTCCTCTGAAGCAGCAGATGGAAATGCAGATGTGGACACTTTGGTTCCTGCCAAGTAATGTTTTTGGTTCACTTTGGAATGAAATTATGAAATGGTGGAGTTGCAGCAAGTGGTGACTGAAATGAGTTGCACTGATTTTCTCTCTGCTGCTTTGAGGAATTGATTCCCCACCCCACCCCCAACTAGGTAAATAAAGCATTGCATCTCACATGGGCATCCCAAACACTTAGATTTTAATTTAAAAATAAGTTATCAACTCAAGAGCTTATTCTTTAATCCATTACTTACGAACTGCCTGATCCTGCAGCCCCGCTTAGCACTGCAAACTCTGTGGGGCAGGGACCATCTTTGTGTTGGAATAATTATATTTGGTCCCATTAGGTTCCATTGGGCAATTAGTGAAGAGGGGCGCAGGATTAGACCTGAGTGTTTAAAGCAGAAATATGAGCAGAAAGGGCTGTTCTTAGAGCACTGAAAGTTATTGCAATCTCACACTCCCTGTTCAAACATTTAACATGATGCAATAATCCTCATTAGCAATGCAAACAGAGGTAGTTGCAACAACATGGTAAAATTAGCACTTTGATATTGTGGATGTGTTAGCACTTTGATATTTGCATTAGCCCTGGCACAAAGCAATCTATTTCATGGGATCAGTTTGTTTTAATTAAAACAAAAAAAATGTGAATCCCAGGCAATCAATATAATGGAAGTTTCATGAAAATATAACCCACCACAGTGCTTTGCCATACATACTTAATTCCACTGCTAGTAAAGGATCTAATCCTGCTGCCACCGAACAGCAATTCAGTGGGGACAACCTCAGGCCCTAATACTTTTCTTCAGTTCGCAAAATTAAAACCCTTAGTTTTCCAGAGAGGATAGAGTAACAGCAAACGCCCCAGACTACTACACTGGGAGTGGAAATTTCTGCTTATAAAGTCACAAAGTTAGTCAAAAGTGCCTCTTACTTTTATTTGCCTCCATTCTTGGGTGACCAACTCGACCCCTTGGGGCCCGACTTTCTGACACCACAGCTATTATTAAGTGAAGCACTTCTCAAAGTCACAGGCCCAACGGGCCTCGAGCTGGACATCCAATTGTGTGGTGACTCTTCAAAATTGGCTGCATCGCAGGGTCACAATTCATGGGATGCAAGTGTTGCAGCGTGATGCATCTTGAGCAATTGGAACTGTCGACTCTTTACATATGGGGAATATGCTTTTTTGAAATCGACAAGAGCACAAGGAGGGAGAGTCTTTTCCATGTTCTTCTGCTGCAGCACAAAACCAAAAAGCTCCACTGCTTAGACTATGCAGATTCATCTAAAAGTTCAGGTCCTATTTGCCATGGAAATTCATCAGTTCATTATTTTCTTTGCATTTGCTCTGGTAAGGAAGTCTCATTTGAAAGTACATCTTCCAAAAGTTGTGGTGAACCTATGGAACCATGAAGCTTAGGTCTGGCTCCAGCACCTACTCTAACGTTTTCAGACCACATAGTCGTTATTCCCAGCTAGTGAGCTGACATGGGAAGATCAGTCAGTCAGATGCTCTAAACAAAAGAGAGATTTCTTGGTAACCACACAAAGTCCACATTACACTGGCTACTTCAAGAACTTCTCATGCAGTCTTTTAACCAATTCACACATTTAAACCATTCCCCCTCCTGCCCTCCACCAAAAGTAAAGTCTGGAAAGTTGTACTCTAATATTAATACATATTTTTTCTGTAGCTTCTGACAGGGAGTTCCCACTTGGTGAGCACACTGAATTTTCTCACTAAAAACCAGATGGCAAGCGTTTTCCCAAGTTAACAGCTCAGAAAAATTCTAAGCCAGGCCAAATCCCTCTTATCTTTCTCAAGTGAGTAACCCAGTTTTGCAGTACATGGAGGAGTAGACTCTTTGGTCTGCAGTCTGGTCTGCAATCTTGAATGGGCCACTGACATTAAAGACAGGCGCTCCTGTCCAGATAGGACTGGCATGTGAAAATACAGATTTCTGTGTTTGCAAAGGTGCTAGGCTCATCTCTGGAGGAGAAAGACTAGCCCCTAGGTCCCTGCTGGGATCGCCAAAATTTTTGTTATGTTTATAAAGTGCCTAGCACAATCTGGTCCTGGCCTCTAGGTGGCTACTGCAATACAAACAACAACAATCTCGGGCATAATTGTTCATACCACTTTCCCCCTCCCTCTATGTTAAATAACCATTGGTGACTGCTTGAAGAAAAAGCAACTCCTTTCCACTGAACCGTTGCTTATACATTAGAAAACAGGTCCCACTGTTAAGAAAGTAGATAATGTTCTTAAATCTGCTGGGTATATACAAACACTTCCCCCCTCCACCCCAGTTTTTTCTAATGTTGGCAGTGTAAATTGAATGACAACTCCTTGATACTCCAAGTATCAGGCTCCAGGGTGGGAGGAGAAAATAAAACTCACCTTGAGAATGTGGATGATTGTGTCATTTTGACTTTTACCCAATAATGCAGGAGAAAATTTCTGACTTTAATCATAGCAAACCAGTCTATTTAATACACAGGTATCTGATAACACAATGGTCCATTCATGAAGGAATAGGTCTTGTATGATTAGAGAACACTGAATTATTACGGGATATAAAATAAGACAAGGGATGACAATTACTTGTTAAAATTCTGTCCACGTAAACTGGTTTCTATCCATTAGCTGCTATATGAATTTGCTATATCGTATATACACATGTTGGTGCATGGAAAGAAATCTTGGAAAAAAATGAGTCAGATCCTTGTCTCGATCATACAACTGTCAATCCTGGAACTCCACTGAATATAGAGCTAAACCCTGATTCTACTCAACGGCAAAACTCCCGTTTTCTTCAATGTGACCAATATGTATCCTTAATGCTAGGCTTAAACTGAGGTCAGCCTCTAGGCTCTGATGTTTCTTACAAGGCCAAAATTACAGCTGAAGGAACTTTTAAATATTACCAATGACAGCAAACATTTAAGCAGAACACCCCTCTCTACCAGAAATAAATTACAAGTACTCAATACAATACATAAAAAGGGACATCATTTGGCGGCACTAATCTATCTTGGCACCTATTAGAAAAGAGATGTCTAGAAAAGGATTCTCTTCACAAATAGTTGTAGTGTGCGCTAACTAGGTGTGAACCAAGACTAGTAAAACAGTTAAACTCTGCAGATTATGTCTATGAGGACAATAGGACAGCAAGTCACTTAAAAAATTGGTTTTTCAAGACTCCTTCTCTCCCTTAGACTGGTTCTATACTTCAGTGGAATTACCGCAATTTATACCAGTGTACGAAGTTGGCCTACATCCCAAGGCTGATTGGCTTTAGAAATTAAAACTGAGTTTAAAACCAGGACAAACCAGCTCCCCAGACTATATATCATGAAACAGTCACGGTCAGAAAATCATCACTTACATGCCAACCTATTTTCTTCCTGGCCAATCAAAACAGACATATTGCGGGAGGTAGGGGGAAAGGAGAAGAGATGCAGACATGAAGGGTAAACAGAAAAAGAACAGTGCCTTCTGTCAAGCTGAATGTTTCTGCAACACAATCCAGCTCTGACTGTGATAATCTTGTGGAGTGAAGTGTGGCAACCTGAATGCCGGAAGGATGCTTCAAGGCAGGAAATCACCATCAGCTCAGTTAAATGAACTAGGACACTGGGAGATCAGCGTGAATCCTCTTCTAATTGGTGGATAAAGGACCCTTTTCTACAATCCTGATTTCTGTAAGTAATTCCATTGCTAAAATGTGATTCAGTTCCCTAGCCACGTGAACCCCAAAGGCAGTACGTGTGTGGGGAACGATGACTCATGTGACATCCATTGCAAGCTTGTATTCAAAGATGAAGCCCGGTGCAGCACTAACATGGTTACTGCTGTGATAAAGCATCAGGCAGAACATTTACTGCACTAACCCCAGAGGAATGGATTGTTACCAAGGCGAATGATGAGTGGGTCAAAATGTTAGGCTGAAGTCACATTTTCAGGCCCCCACCCTACAGGGACTTGTGATCATGTTGAAAGCCAATTTCGAAAGTGGCTGTAGTAGTCTGGGGGGTCTACATAATTCACCTCTAGCAGTGGTAGCAATGATGGAGGGTTTAGAGCAGATACAACCTAGCCCAACTTCTTAACAAGGTTTGTAATCATGCCAGTCATAGATCCTGAGGCCCTGTGGGAGCATTCACTGAAAATACCATTGCTAATGCTTCTTCAGCTCCACCAGTGTTAGCAACGTTAGGGGCCCTAGTGTGATGGCTGCAGGTTTTAACACAATCTCAGGTAAGCCAGCGCTGAACAGGTCTGATTGGTGTTAGGCTGCTGTTGGTGTTTAGTACCATGGTCGTTAGACCTACTCAGGACACGCTTTAAAAAAACAACTGTGCAGCAGCCCAGCTACATGAGCGCTTCCTAGGTTGCTAACTCAGGGGCACCTGTATAAGCAACAGTGGGGCATGATTAGAAAATGTAGACAGGGCGTAACGTAGACAGGGCCTTGGCATGCATGTTTACAGTCTACTATGTACTTAAAAGCCCAAGGCAGGATCACATTAGATGTCCCTAGGGCAAGTTAGTAGTAGTGAATAACGCTTCAGATTTTGGCTTATGTAGAGACAGGCTCAGTAAAAACCATACTAGCCTTGAGCATTCAACAGCAGCAGCTGCTGCAGGTGTTTTCATCAGTATGCCATCTAGGCCTACTCTGAACAAAGTCGGGCCAGTGGTAGATCCATTCGTAGGTCTCTAACTGCTGGCATAGACATTTCTTCTTAGCAAGTCTTTGTTAAGGGGCCAAGTCTATGCCTGGGTTCTAGTAGAGTGGTTGGCTGAGGAAAAAATCCATGTCCACTCGTGGCCAGTGAAACCATACGTGCTCCAACTAGTCAGCCCTGGTGTTAGGACGTGGCTGTAGCTAGCTTAGTTCTGATTCCCATAGCGAGTCGGAGTACAGAGTTGGATGGGCAAGAGGAAACCAGCAGGAAGACTATCATCAGGTATTGCAACCAAGAGAAGCAAAAGGCCAAAGCATTAGTAAATGAAATATTTCCTGCTGTACACTTAGGCTAGCTGATTATTAAAAGAAATGAGACGAAGTGGGTGAGGTGTAACATCTCATTGTACCAACTTCTTTTGGTGGAAGAGACACGTTTTTGAGCTTCACAGAGTTCTTCCTCAGGTCTGGAGAAGGTAACCAAAGTGTCATAATCAAGTTAGGTCCAATAAAAGCTATTACCTCACCTACCTTGTGTGTCTCACAGCCTGGGTCCAACACGGCTATGGCAACACTGCAAACAAGTATTAAAAGGAATGTTTGTTCACACCAATAGTCTTCAGAGGATGTTATTCTGAATATAGTAAAGTTTTCTAAGGGACCTGTTTACCCGTAGTCGAAGATGCATTTGCAGAAGTGACAGACTATGCTCCTGCAATTGATGCAGTGTTGCCCAGACAATCAGAAGACCAATTTTGAGGACTCTTTTGAAATTTGGCTCCGTCATGGAATTTAAACCTTACACTTTCCCCATAACTTGAAAAAATTACCTTGTGCAGAGATTTGTCCTTCAGCTGAAAAGTTCAACATTCACAGAGAGGATTGCAAAATAGGGGTCTCCTAGGCCTGAGGAAATTGGGCATGTGTCTGCAGTTACAAAGGGTGGTGACCTTTGCAGCAAGTTCACGGAAAGGCCACACCCCATGACAGTCTCTGTACTGGGCTATACAGCTGCTGCATGGCTACATATAAGTTCTCTCCGGCAATTTTTTACATCTTGGAACGGCGTTCCCATCTCTCTCCTCACAGGAGTGAGAGGCAAAACAGAAATCCAGGGCTCAGGCATCCACTGCAGCTTATTTAAATACAATGTATCGATGGGAAATGGTCCATCATGAACGATGCACTTGCTTTGAAGTGCCCGGCTGATGTCAGGAAATTCAGTGCTGTAACCTGTCAAGGGATAGGACAGGAATTTGGAAGCTGGCCTTTAATTCCACTGGCAGCCTTGAGCACTCAATTCCAACTGACTAGCATATTTCCAGGTTCCTCTGTATCTCTCGACAGATATGCCATCCCCAGGAGGACTTTGAAAGATGCCACTTCCAGAGTGGTCTCTAGTGACACATGGCCACCTATGTAGCAAGGAAAAGAAGCAGCTAGGATTGTGAGGAGGCCGAACGAGGACCACACCGACAGACATGTACGTGTAAGACACAAACACTGGCTGTAAGTCACTTTTACAAGTTTCTTTATGAAATTAAATGTAGCCCCTGGCGAGGGGAAAGATATAGTGCAAGAATGACTTTGTACATGCTACTGAATTCAGATATCCCTGGATAACCAGACTTCAGTCAGCTACAGTATCAGCAAACATTGGAACTCTGAGCTTTGCAGACAGTTAGTGCTTACTCACAATAGCAACACGCTGGAACGAATGGGTGTTTTCCTTCCAACCAGCCGCAACTTCTTCTAAGCTATGGAATTCAGTCCTTATGGCTTCTAACTCTTTCACTATTGTAAGGCAAATCTTTCCTTTTACTAACCGAGGATTAAATGAATTCTTTTTGGCCACAATTTACAAACCTGCGTGCCTACCGCTAAGCTCTTAATTCCACATTTAGGCACCTTATAAATGGCCTGATTTCTTTTTTCAAAGGTGCAGGTGACCTGGAATACACCTCAATATGGGGGGGGGGGTGTACGTGTTCTCTGGTTTGGAAAAATCCATCCATTTTGAACGAAGGAGCTCAACTGTGGAGTTAGGACCTTAACTTAAGGGAATTAAGTTTGCAGATGTTGGCCTTTGTTTTTTGTTAACAAAAAAAAGAAAGACAGACGAACAGGCATCAAGTTAACAACATCTGACAGGACTGATTACAAACTTACAAAATACACAGTTCTGTATTTGCCATAAATAAACACATTACAAACGTTTAACATTTTCATTGGCCAGGAAATATGGCAGAGTGACAGTGGGAAGAGTCTAAGGAGCTGACAACAGTATTTATTTTAGGCACATTTTTTTCCTAACTCTTTTTTTTTTTACATAACTCAAAGAAAATCAACTAGGTTGCAAGATGCATGTACTTCACTCATGCTGTGGGTTTGATTGGCACCATTTAATGGACTATGGTTCGGCGGTGTGTTGACCTAAGGAAAAGAAAAAGGGCACAGCAATATCATTGTTGCCTTCTCTGAGTGCCAATAAAGGCTAATCAGTCTGTTAAACGTGTAGTAAGATCATTTCTTTGAAGATGAACTCGGGAATTGGGGCAGTAAAAGGAAGGGTTTAGTCCCCCCAAAAGTGCATCACATCAGCAACAATGAACCATGGTTCTGAGCATGCTCAGTAGACACCAAGCAGGCTGGTGTTGGAATGGACAAACTGCCATCTCTGCATGGGCAGCCAAGTTGGCTGAAGGCTAGAGTCTCTCTGGCAGTTGTCAGACAGCAATAATGTTCACAGCTGGGAGGATTGGTTCAAGATGCAGCTGACAACAAGGGTAAGATGAAAAACAGTTCAGGCTCCATCCTGTCGTGATCTCTTCCTGGGGGTTTGTATGGCTCCCGAGTGTTGTGCAGGGCTGGCTCACTTTGACTGGCACAAAAACACGCAACACAGTGTTCCACTTTGGACCCATTCAAGTACAGTCAGTCTGCAGAATAAATAGGGAAGGAAGGAGCATGCGCCATCCTTTGCAAACAGAGGGATGGAGGAGCTGGGGGTCCGTCAGCTGGAACAGATGGCTAAAGTGCTTTCTCAGTAGGGATTCAGGCACAATAGGGAGCTGCCCCTCACTTCCGAAAGGGTGTCAGCCTGCTGATGTTCTGCCAGAAGTTCGAGGGCTTGCGCTTGGGCTCTGCCAGCATGAAGACTTGCTGCTGGGGGAGGTTGGTAGGCAGAGAAGGATGCTTCTGACGCATCAGAAAGTCATAGTAGGGCCTGGTGACAGCTGTTTAGACCATGAGACAGGGAAGAGCAAACGTTAGACTGGTACAGTCCCATGCCCGATTCCCACACAATCATTCTCAAAGCTGAGGCAGAGTTAGCCATAATAAGTAACAGCCAGTTACAGATAACTCTGTTTTGAGTTATCTAACCCCAAAGGCAGTTCGGGGATTAAGCCGATAGTCTGGGAGTGCCCCAAATGTTGACTGGAATTCAGAGATGCTCGCATGCCCTCAGAATGTTGCCTGCAGCCACGCGCAGCAATGCGAGGACAAATCTGGACACTTAAGGCATGTCTACACTGCAAAGGAAAACCCTCAGCAGGCCGTACCAGCCGACTCGGGCTCTTGGGGCTGTTTTATTGCAGTGTAGACTTCCGAGCTACCACCCGAACTCTGGGACCCTCCCACCTCGCAGCCCGAACCCGGAAGTCTACACTGCAATGAAACAGCCCAAAAGCCCAAGCCCGAGTCAACTGATATGGGCCTGCCATGAATTTTTCTTTGCAGTGTAGACATGCCATTACAGTGCTCTACTGCTGACAAACTTAAACAGCACCCAATTCTGAATGCTTGGAAGACTGGTTAACTGACCTGCACTTGTGCACATTAGCCTGTGTGGCAGGTTGTAAATATGTAAGTATTTGTAAATGTTTAAACGTTGCAAAGTCTTACTGAGCAGTGGGCCCAGTCCACAGCATTTAGATATAGGATCTGGATTTGGAAGCCCTTGGGGTTCAGTAGTGTTTGGAGTTAGGGGCTTGTCTAGACTACAGACACTATAATGGCACAGCTACGGCACTGCAGCCATAGCGCCATTGTGTAACAATGGAAGGGGTTTTTCCAACACTGTAGTTAATCCAAGAGGCGGTAGCTAGGTCAACAAAAGAATTCCTCCATCAACCTATTGCTGTCTACACTGGGGCTCAGATCGGCTTAACTACTTCTCTCGGGTGAATTTTTCACATCCCTGAGTGACCTAGCTAGGTTGACCTAAGTTTTTGGTGTAGACCAGGCCTTGGTTCACTGCACTAGAGAGAGACTGGGCAGCCTATGCCAACTGGATCTGGCTCCTGTTTCCAAACTCCCATGATACTTGGCAATATCTGGCTCCAAGTCTGGATTACAGCCGAACTGTCCTTCTTGGATTTTTGCAGTACTGTGCAATAAACTGCCAGCCTGTGTTTCATTCCCACACAGTACCCAGGGAACCATAGAAAGGTAAGAGACTGAATTCCTTGGCAAGCTACAGTAGAGGGAGTGCAGCCACAAAGTCTGGTTTCCCAGGGCAGTTCTGTGAATCTTCACCTGGAGGCAGCATCCATGACGAAGGGCAGGACAGGCATAAGGAGGGGAAACTTCCCTGCAACTCATAGAGCTCATCCTCCCTTCGGCTACTGCTAAACCTCCCTTGTTAGGCTGCTGCTTTCTGTCCTGGGTGCCTACAGACGCTGTTGAAGAACACCTCATCTGCATCTGCCAATCTCCATGTACAGCAAAGGGTGGGTATTTAATTAACTGTTCTATTGTGGTAGCACCAACACTGTGCCAAATACCACACAAACATACACAGAGAGAGACTGCCCCTGCCGCAAAGACCTCAATCTAAACCCTTTTCACTTCCCCAAGAGTTCCCCTAAAACTCCTCTTGTCATTCTTCCTGCAAGCTGCCCCATTCAAATTGCTTAGAGACCTGGCTTCTAGGGCTGAGGGGGGGGGATTCCAGTCCCCAGCCAGATGCCATCCAACAATCTCATAAACAGAAGCTGCCAATTGTATTTAGCTACCTTGAACTGTACTAGGGGTTTTGGAATATGAACGATGATTAGACACACAGAATGGCCCTTGTAGCCAGGAAATATTGGGTTGCTGAATCTCACTGGCTTAGCTGAGGCTGCCAAGTCTTCAACTTGGTGAGAGCTGCTGGGAATTGTACTGCAATTTCCCACCTCTCTGAGCCTACCAGCTGGCCTATCCCAGAACTTTGTTAGCATCACTTGATTGACACTAATCACATGCAGTAAAATCAGCTTGTTCGGGGAAAATTTCCATATAATGGGAGACAATAGAAAAATACAGTGCTGAGTAATTTCCACAGCTTGCGGACAGTTCAATTAATTTCACCGGGATCCTATTTCCCTGTCATGACTCTTTCTCTGTATTTTCTTTCTCATCCATCAGTGATGAAGGGCTTGAGCCAGCAAAAATATTACATACTCATAAAACTGCATTTCCTAGTTCACCTAGGAGAACAATAGCTCTCAATATGGTAGTAGGCAGTTAGTGAGGTGTTAGTCACCCCCATCTTTAACATTCCTGTTCAACCCCAGTGGAACAAGACCCACCAGTGGAAATCCTTAGTCATTTCCCTCTTAGCAGTAAGAGTAGGGAGATGGATCAAAGTTTGTGACAAGTCACGTCTCCCATCCAGCTAAAAGGGTATATTGACTGGATGCCACTAGAGTCTGGTTTATTTTCAAGGTCTACAGTCGCTGTGAGATTCCTTAGCATTGTGTTTAGCTATGGACCCCTATTGGGATCTGAACTGGAGGTTAACTCTTAACACTGTGTTCTTTATTTAATACTGAAATGCTACCTTAACCTGCAGAATAACTACTTGTAAATATTGTTATAAACAAAAATACTGTCACTGGGAAGTTATGCTGAAACATTGCTCACCTGTTTATCAACAAGTTCAGATTGCTTAATGGGGGGCACGTTTATCAGTGAATCTGGATTTTTATTTAAACGTGACTTCACTAAAATATTTGTTTTCCGAACTGTATGTGCTGATCCAATTTACAGCTTGTATTTTTTACTCTTAAGTTTGATCAGGTTTGTTCCTAGGCTCCATAAACCCGGAGCGACAGAAAATTAGAATGGCTATTGCTAAAACAGGGACAATTGCTTCTCATTAATTTCCCTACCACACCAAGTGACCCTGTGCCACTGGAATAAAGATCTTAAAACCTACCCCCCCCAGTGGTAGGAGTAGAGTAACACTTACCAAGCTCCCAAAGCTGAACAAGCCAGGGGAAGGGGCAATTAATGCATTGATCAGCCCAAGCTTATTTGAAGTCGGGTTTTTAGATGTGCTTAGGAGAAAAAGAAAGGGCCACACTCACCCTTAGGCTTTCCGGTGTGGTGCTGTTTGTTGGCATTCAGCATCGCCTGCTTCTTCTGCACCTCTGTGATTGAAAAACCTTAAAGACAAAACCGAACCTGTTAGCAGCTGTACCGCTTAGGGCTCCACCTAGTTCCTCCTACAAACAGTGGGGCTCATGAAGAGGGAAGTGTGGGGATGAACACATCACTATGGATTTGATTGTGCTCTTGAGGCACAGCCCCATATTGGGGTCTACCTTGCCGCAGGAGCCCCGGGACACATTCTGGGTAGAATTCAGCCAGAATTGCCCCTGGTGCTGAGGGAGAGTGTATGCTGCCCAGGGCGCGCTGCCAATTTTTAGCAATTGCAACATGTGCCTCACTTTGTGGCAGCTACGCCCCCACTCAGTTCTCCCTGCCTCCTTGGTTAGCATGGTCAGTGGCAGCCTACCATATGGCCTGCACACTTGGCGCACTGGGTTGGCCCTGCTTGTGTGGCCCTAGTCACATTAGACCAAGTATGAAAACGGTGAGATGGATTTGCCCCCTAGAGAACATGTGGTCATGTATAGAATCCTGGATCAATCTTGTGCTGGGCTATTGACGAGTCTGTCTCTAACCCTGCCAATGGGAAGAATAATTCAAAACTAATATAACTTACTATTTAATAGATAGTTCAAGCAGGCTAAGCAAAAGATTTTAGCAGCTCCCTGAGAACTCATTTCAGTGATTGCTCTCTGCTCTATTCTTTGTATGATGAGCAGAGGGGAAAAGAAACATCATGCAAAATATATACATCTGCAGCCCAGCCCTGGGCTGGAGGGGCACGTATTGCATTTGCACACATTTGTGTTCAGCGTGATGGAGGGCCCTGCTAGACAGACAGCCTTGCCATACCAGTTTCCTGGTCAAGCTGAACCTGTTTCCTTTCATTCTCGAATGCCTTGAGCCAGCGCTGTTTCTGTTCAGGCTTTTTTGCACAGAATAAGTGGACTTCCTCAGGGTCCCTGCAGAGCAGCTTGAATGCATTTTTAACACTGATATTGAAGTCCTTATCCTTCCCATCCTCCACGTCCACTATTTCCATGTCATCCATGTTGATCCGACTCTTATAATAGAGGATGTCCCGGCGCAGGAGATCCTGGAAGAGATTATTTTCATTGTAACTATATCCATTTCCATGCACACAATTCCTTTCTCTTCCTAGCCACAAGAAGACAACCTGTTACCTTGCTGATGTGCACTGCTGCCTTATGAGAAAAAGCAATGACACCTAGGCCTCTTCGCCCTGACTGTGGCTTTCTGGAACTCACTTTCTGATGCTGGCTCCAGTCTTAGAACAAGCTGGTAGGGCCCAGGAACAGTTTCTGTAGCTGATGGAGCATGTGTCTGGGCAGGACTATACTTACAGCAGTGTGATATATGTACTGCCACTCAGGGATGAGAGTGAGCCGGTACAGCATACTGGTAAGAACCCATATTGGCCTGTATGCAGCCCACATTAAAGCGCTGCCACGGCGCTTTAATGTCCCTGCCCCTTTTGCCTCCCCCGTCGGCGGCCCTGCTAGTAGGGTCCGTCCTGGCAGGGCTGCCCACAGGGGAGGCAAAAGGAGCAGGGACATGGACGGTCTTTTGTCGTGGCAGCACTTTAACATTGCTGCGCCCCTCCATCGGCGGCCCTACCAGCAGGGCCACCGACTGGGGAAGCGCAGCAATGTTAAAGCACTGCCGCGGCAAAGGAGCCTACAGAGCTTTAACGTCCTTGCCCCTTTTGCCCCCCCTCGGCCACCGACGGGCGAGGGGGGGGCAAAGGGAGCAGCTGCCCCGGGGCCGGCGATTTAAAAGGGCCCGGGGCGCCGGACGTCGCTGCCACTACCACAGCAGTGGCGTCCAGAGCCCCAGGCCCTTTAAATTGCCACTGGAGCCCCGGGCGGCGCGGGCCAGGCAGCCTGGAAGGGCTGGCTTGGGGGTCTGACCCCCCCCCCAGCCCTGCCCCTTCCACCCGAGGCCCCGCCCCTTCTGGGGGCCGGAGCTGGCCTCAGCCCCATACCGGTAAGTGTCTGGAGTTACTTTCACCCCTGCTGCCACTACTATCAACTGCACTAGAGTGCTTCTGTAATTCAATGTCACTTGCCAGGATGTCTGAAAGGCAAGCAAAGGTTCCTGTCATTGCCCTGACACGGGGACACTGGGTACTTACTAAGCCACACAACTAGTCAACGTTGTTACTCCAGATTTAGGACAGTGTAACGGAGCAGGATTTGGCCCCTACAGTCTATCTCAAGAAGCCACAAAATGCAGGATTGGATTTTCCTGCTAATGTTGCTGGTGAAAAATACAGCCAGCACTAGTGTCCGAGGCAAGGCCCTCATTAGTTTAAGTCACTTGTAGTAAGGAATTGTGGGTATAGTGAAATGGGTCATGCGCTCAGTGAAAAGCTTTGGTATGGTCACTTCTGACGTGCTGTAGGAAGAGCCCTGTCTCCCTTCGCACTAGGTCACAACCACATCTGAGTCTTTGCATTTACACATGTAGCTGTGACCAGCCAGCATTCCCAAGTTAAGTGACGCTTAAAACAAGTTAAATGACGCTTGGCCTACTGATGTGGGGGCCTAGTTTTCAGTGGTGCTGAGCTCTTTGACATCACCTGGAACTTGTAGTTCTCAGCAACCCTGAAAACCAGGCCTGTGAATTAGCTCAAACTCTGAAAGAGCTTTCAATAAAGAACAACATATGGGGAGGAATGAGTCTGTGGGGCACATTGTGCTTCCCCTGAAGAAAATACAAAACTGATCTTTCAATACTACCCATCCAGGGGGAAGTGCCAAAAGGCAAGACCCCAAGTGAAATGTGTTGTTCCATTCTTACTTAGAGCCTGAGCCAAAGTCAATGGAAGACTCTCATTGACTTCCGTAGGCTTTGGGTCTGGCCCCTAAAGGGAAGACAGACCGCTTTAAGGACTGTGATCTCTCCTGTTATTTAAATAGGCCATCTCCTTGGGTTCGTTATAATCCAATATAGGAGCTGTAACATGCCATGCTTTCCCTATGAGAGCAGTGTATCCGAACTGATTGATCTGGAAGTTAAGTACCCAGCCACAGCCATTTTGTCTTCTGGGTACCAATTCAGTAATCTGGCCCTAAATTCCTGCTGATGACAACCGTGTTAGCTGAGAGCGAAAATAGTGATGGCAATGTTGACGCATTTGATTTTTTTAAATTAAGCCTCACGCTGATCCTACAAAAACCAATGCCCAGCTTTCCTCTCTAGGGTGACCAGACAGCAAGTGTGAAAAATCGGGACAGGGGGTGGAGGGTAATAGGAGCCTATATAAGAAAAAGACCAAAAATTTGGGACTATCCCTATAAAATTGGGACATCTGGTGACCCTATTCCTCTTTCACAGGACACCTGCCTGTCAAGAACCCGCTACTTCCATTTATCATCTGCAATCAAGTGCACAGTAGACAAGCATGGCAGGAAAAATTGCTGTGTATGCACATACACAACTCCAGCCCCCTGACTGATAGACAGACATGTCTAGCGTTAGCCTGCTAACCTACATACTGACCCTCTTTAAAGATATTCTGGGGAGGGGAATGTAAAAAGTAAAACTGAACTGAGGCGGGATTTGACTTCAGTGGGCAGATCAATCAACAGAGGTAGAGACAGGCTCCTCAAGTTACCTTCTTACAGCAGACCAGCTGGTGATCAAAGAGGAAGAACATTCTCTGTTGGCTCTTCGCTTGAGGCTGGGAGATTTTGGTTAATTCCCCAGAATAGATGAGTTCCGAGCTTCTGACTAGGACGTCTTCACCCTGGCGGCAGCAGCAGCACCACAAAGAGCACCACAAAATGTTAGTTTGTTCCAAGAATCACAAGAATTCAACCTGATTGAGCGCCTGGGCTTGATTGGTTAAATGGTGTGGTCCTGACCTACCATCCTGGATCTTAGATGAAAGTTCATAAGATGTCATAATGACCTAGAACAACAATTGTTGATGGGAAAAGGTGCAGAGGGGAGACAGACTGACTCAGTCCAAACAAAAAGGCCTCCTGATATAACTCAAGGAGTTAAGATCATGCTTGGTAAACAAGAGAAACGTGCAACCAAAAATCAGTGAACCAAAACAGGTGCATCCTGGATGCAGGCCGCCTCTGTGAATGCGGATGGAGTGAAAAAGGAGCAGGGGCTGTTGTATGAATTTAGATGGAATAAATGGGCCAAAGGCGTTAACATAACCCAGTCAATGTCCAACACTCAACAGCATTAAACAAGGTTCAGGGTTTAGTATGCAGAGACCTCAGCCTGCTTAGTACTATGGCAAACACACCATTAAAAATCCTTAGCCTTTTATTAAAGACATAGAGAAGAAGGAAAAACAGTTAAAGCAGTTGAAATATAAAGCATTAAGTAAGGCTTTCATTTTAAGAAGATTTCTTGTTCCCTTTCCCTTTAGCTGGAGAGAGTTTTTAGAAGGAAACGCCCCCTTGTCTGACATCTCTTAGATGGTATCAAAGATGAGCTAATTCAGTTTAAACTAAATGGAAGGATAAACAAAAATAGATCTGTGACTAGGGTTTTTTATTTCAAAAGGGCTAACTTTAAAGAATTAAGGAAATTAGTTAGGGAAGTGGATTGGACTGAAGAACTTGGGGATCTAAAGGTGGAGGAAGCCTGGAATTACTTCAAGTCAAAGTTGCAGAAACTATCAGAAGCCTGCATCCCAAGAAAGGGGGGAAAATTCATAGGCAGGAGTTGTAGCCCAAGCTGGATGAGCAAGCATCTCAGAGAGGTGATTAAGAAAAAGCAGAAAGCCTACAAGGAATGGAAGATGGGAGTGATCAGCAAGGAAGGCTACCTTATTTGAGGTCAGAACATGTAAGGATAAAGTTAGAAAGGCCAAAAGCCATGTAGAGTTGGACCTTGCAAAGGGAATTAAAACCAAGAGTAAAAGGTTCTATAGCCATATAAATAAGAAGAAAACAAAGAAAGAAGAAGTGGGACCACTAAACACTGAGGATGGAGTGGAGGTTAAGGATAATCTAGGCATGGCCCAATATCTAAACAAATACTTTGCCTCAGTATTTAATGAGGAGCTTAGGGATAATGGTAGGATGACAAATAGGAATGCGGATATGGAGGTAGATATTATCACATCTGAGGTAGAAGCCAAACTCGAACAGCTTAATAGGACGAAATCAGGGGGCGTCAGATAATCTTCATCCAAGAATATTAAAGGAACTGGCACACGAAATTGCAAGCCCATTTGCAAGAATTTTTAATGAATCTGTAAACTCAGGGGTTGTACCATATGACTGGAGAATTGCTAACATAGTTCCTATCTTTAAGAAAGGAAAAAAAAGTGATCTGGGCAACAACAGGCCTGTCAATTTGACATCTGTAGTATGCAAGGTCTTGGAAAAAATTTTGAAGGAAAAAGTAGTCAAGGACATTGAGGTCAATGGTAATTGGGACAAAATACAATATGGTTTTACAAAAGGTAGATCGTGCCATACCAACCTGATCTTCTTCTTTGAGAAGGTAACAGATTTTTTAGACAAAGGAAATGCAGTGGATCTAATTTACCTCAATTTCAGTAAGGCATTTGATACGGTTCCACATGGGGAATTATTAGTTAAATTGGAAAAGATGGGGATCAATATGAAAATTGAAAAGTGGATAAGGAACTGGTTAAAGGGGAGACTACAACGGGTCATACTGAAAGGTGAATTGTCAGACTGGAGGGAGGTTAGTAGTGGAGTTCCTCGGGGATCGGTTTTGGGACCAATCTTATTTAATCTTTTTATTACTGACCTTGGCACAAAAAGTGGGAATGTGCTAATAAAGTTTGCGGATGACACAAAGCTGGGAGGTATTGCCAATACAGAAAAGGACCAGGATATCATACAGGAAGATCTGGATAACCTTGTAAACTGGAGTAATAGTGATAGGATGAAATTTAATAGTGAAAAGTGCAAGGTCATGCATTTAGGGATTAATAACAAGAACTATTGTTATAAGCTGGGGAGGCATCAGTTGGAAGTAACAGAGGAGGAGAAGGACCTCGGAGTATTGATTGATCACAGGATGACTATGAGCCGCCAATATGATATGGCCGTGAAAAAAGCTAATGCGGTCTTGGGATGCATCAGGTGAGGTATTTCCAATAGCGATAAGGAAGTGTTAGTACCGTTATACAAGGCACTGGTGAGCCCTCATCTGGAATACTGTGTGCAGTTCTGGTCACTCATGTTTAAGAAGGATGAATTCAAACTGGAACAGGTTCAGAGAAGGGCTACTAGAGGATCCGAGGAATGGAAAACCTGTCATATGAAAGGAGACTCAAAGAGCTTGGCTTGTTTAGCCTAACCAAAAGAAGGCGGAGGGGAGATATGACTGCTCTCTATAAATATATCACAGGAATAAATACCCGGGAGGGAGAGGAATTATTTAAGCTCAGTACCAATGTGGACACAAGAACAAATGGATATAAACTGGCTATCAGGAAGTTTAGACTTGAAATTAGACAAAGGTTTCTAACCATCAGAGGAATGAAGTTCTGGAACAGCCTTCCAAGGGGAACAGTGGGGGCAAAAGACATATCTGGCTTCAAGACTAAGCTTGATAAGTTTATGAAGGGGATGGTATAATGGGATAGCCTAATTTTGACAATCAATTCGTCTTTGACTACTAGCGGTAAATATGCCCAATGGCTTGTGATGGGATCTGAGTTACTACAGAGAATTCTTTCCTGGGTACTGGCTGGTGAGTCTTGCCCACATGCTCAGGGTTTAGCTGATTGCCACATTTGGGGTCGGGAAGGATTTTCCTCCAGGGCAGATTGGCAGAAGCCCTGGGGTTTTTTCGCCTTCCTCTGCAACGTGGGGCACGGGTCACTTGCTGGAAGATTCTCTGCACCTTGAAGGCTTTAAACCATGATTTGAGGACTTCAGTGGCTCAGACACAGGTTTGATACAGGAGTGGGTGGGTGAGATTCTGTGGCCTGCGTTGTGCAGGAGGTCAGACTAGATGATCATAATGGTCCCTTCTGACCTTAAAGTCTATGATTCTATGGTCATAACTGTCCTTTTGGGGAAGAGAGAAGAAGTTAGTTGAGATGAGCTGGAGCTGCTGCTGCTGTTAAAGTCCAATCCTGTTTCATCTCAGGTGGTGTTTGGGATTCAGCTGGAGCTGGCAGTGGTGGTGACGTCCCCTAGGTCGCTCTCCCTGGCCTGGTCTGCTCAGGACATCTCCAGGATCAGGATGATGAAGGCCCAGGATCCCAGGAGATGGTGGGGAGTAGTAGCCATGATGGTGAAGCTTGCTCCAGTAGCCAATTTCCCCCCCAACGTCTCTTTCTTTAAGGACCTCCGAAAGGGAGTTATGGGTGGATAGTGCATACCCTCATTATTTTGTCCACCAGTTAGGCCTAGTTTCTGACATACCGATTTTGTTCACTGATTTCTGGTTGCACACTTCTCTTAACACACTCCTTGAGTTATATCAGGAGGCCTTTTTGTTTGGACTGATTCAGCCTGTTTCCCTTTTGCACCTTTTCCCATCAACATTTGTTGTTCTAGGTTATTGTGACATCTTATGAACATAAACACACTATTTTACAATTGAGCTCACAATTAGGGTAAATGTGTAGGTCCAGTTATCACAGCATGATCTCATTCCATCACAACACTGGAGCACAATCCCTGCCTCCCATGAGAGTGAGGGATGCTGTCCCTCTCACATCCATTGAGCACCAATTTGGCTGGGCATATGCAGAAAATGAAATTTTGTTCTGGACTCAGCCCCATTTGCCAGGTTTGGATCATCTGCTCATCTGCTGAGCCAAATCCTCTGCCCTCAGAGGAGCTACATTAGTTTACACCAGCTGATGAGGGGGGGAAAAAGGATAATTTAATCAAAATACATTTGCTCAGCTCTAAAAAACAGGCAGTTTTGTTTATTTAAAAAATAAATAAATAAAACTGGTTTTAAAAAGAGCTTTTCTGAGCATGTACAAATACTATAGGAAAAGTCAGATGCCATTTTATCTGTCAGGGCCTAGTAGCCCTCTTAAGGATGTCACTTAGAATACTAGATGCCAGCTTTGCCTGCCTCAATAATGCTTGAAAATTATTCAAATAATAAATGATTTATTGGAATTTCAGTAAGCAGCATGTGCCAATTTCCTTCTGCAAAGAGCAAGGATGTATGGTAAACAGGACCCAGAGAGCTGTACAAAGCTGTAGAAGGATATCAGGATAGCTCAGGTCTTTCAGAGTTCCTCCAACCCTATCAGGAGAAGATGAATCAACAAGCATGAGTGTGACAGAATGTGATTGGGCTAGTGAGCCATATAAAATAATCACTTCGGGGCCCCATTCACCCTGTGTGGCACTTGAGTCCCCTCACCTCCCAGTCCTCTATGGAACTCTGCCACTGGGCAATTTTGTCTATGTTCTCCAGCCTCCTTTTTCTCTCATTGATCAGTCGAGCAACGTTCTTCATGGCATTTAAGGCAGCTTCAACATCTTTAAAATCCCTAGGGCAAAACAGATTTCATTAGGCACGTCTACATGAGCAGACCAGAATCCGAAAGTGCTGCAACTCTAGAGTCTAGTGAACTGGAGCACAGAGCTGGAAATCTGGGTTCCATTTCTGGTTCTGCCACTCACTTGGGTTGTATTTCTAAAGCACTTGAACAATGTCACATGGAGAGCCCCGTGGGCCACGTTTTCAGAAGAACTCATCTCTCATTTAGGCATGAAAATAAGAGGTCAGATTTTGAAAGGAGCTGAGTTCTTTTGAAAGCCAGGCCCGAATGGTTAGCGCTGAGTATCTGAAAATCTGACCCAGCAGGTGCAAAGTACTTGATATTCTAAGTATCTGTTTTCTCTGGAGATTTAAAGCCACTATTTTGTCCATCACAAAAACTATTTTTAAGTGAAATTGTTAAAGCCACAATATTTTCATGCCATTACATTTGAAGATTAAGTTGTCAGACATGGGCCAAGCCCATTTAGAAATGCATGGGTCCCTTTCAAACAGGAGGCATTATCTATTTGTGGTAGGACAGAATCTCCTGCAACAAACCCACACACCATCTGCTACCACCATCTCACTCACTAGCCCTGGAAGAAGAGCGTTGGAGTGTCTTGCCTTACACACTATTTCCAAAATCTCAGAGCACCCACTGTGGCACGTACTCTGAGTAACCCCTTCCAGATATACTTAGTTTCACAACATAGTGTTTACGAATTTAATAACACACACACACATAAAGTAATTCTGAGAAACATCAGTGTGGTCATTAGGAACTTGAAAGTCCAGCTCAATTCATAGTGTGTCACTATGATCACTTTCCTCCAATACTGATTTTCAGGTTTATTTGTGTAACTCTAGTTATATCAGGTGCATTATTAAGAGACATTTTATTATACACAAATATGTTCCTTGTACTGTGATTCCTTAAAAAAACCAGTTGATCAATGGTTGCGCTATGAGAATTTGAACAGATTCTGTCAAAACTGTAAAGAGATTCTGTTTAAAAACATGGGCCCAAAGTTTGCTGTGCCTTAAAATTGTTATGATGCCCTAGGGCAAGTTCTCTAGAGCCAAAGGGCCACATCCTCAGCAATGTGCGTAGCCCCACTGAAGACATTTTAAGTGCAATGATTCCCACTAACTGAGGATCTGGCCAGGTGTTTTTTAAGCCTATTACCCTGACTCCATAAAATCGAAATCATGGAACAAACATGCCCATGCAGTGTGTCCCAGGAACAGGTTTCAAAGGTGGGGAGTGACTGTGCAGAGGGGGCTGAAGCAGCCCAGACCTAATGCATGAACTGTGCATGTCCCTGATGCGATGGAGAAGATCTCCACAATGGTACCCGGTTACTGCAGGCAGGGAGGGTAGGCTAGATGCCTGAAGATGTATGTCTGTGCTCACCATGAATCCACTGGTCCATAGGACAGCAGCAGACCAAGTCCACCACTCCCCTCATACCCTGCAGTATTAGCCACAGCCTGGCTGCTCAGACATCCTGGCTAATTGTGGCCGAAGAGCCCATCCTTTCAGACATGATACTTCTAACTCAGGCTTTGTTCAGATTCCCAGACAAACAGCCTTTGTTTTGGTAGGATCTACAGCATTTTGTGCTGTGCTCCTGCACAGCCAGCAAAGGAAGCACAAGTTGACTCATGAGGCCTATTGGCTGTGCTAATATCACTCTTGGGGCTCAAATAAGGAAGTGAATATGATACTAAACAAACAGTAGGGTGGTATCTACTACACAGGTAGAGAAAGCTCAGTGTTTGCCTAATAGAAAAGGATATATCTGGTAAGAGGGCATGCTAAACAATTGTGAATATAACATACAGCTACCATGAATATCCTTTTTCTGTAACTCTGAGACAACTGTTCTCAAATTCCCCATTCCCATGCGTGTATAAGCCGTTCCTGACATTTTGCACCTACCTGTGCTGGGGGTTGGTATATTTGAGTAGTTCAGCGAGCTGCAGTGGATACTTGCAGATTTTCTGCACTGGAGTCAGCAGAAACCCATCCAGAGAGATGTCGATCATCTTCTGAAGCAGGCGGCACGCTTCAAAGAAGTAGACATACTTGTTGACTTTGGTGAGTCGGGACAGCTCCACGCAGGCGTTGGGGTGGTTGTTGCAGTACTCGGAGTAAATCTGGAACTCTGTTTGCTGAGATGGGAATGAAAAGGCAACCCCTAGTGGTAATCTCTCTTATATCAGGGTCTGGGCCTGAAAATGCTGCATAGTGCAGAGCTCAGCCATCCTCTACCCACTGCAGGCCCCTCTGCCCAAAACAACTACAGTACCTACCCTGCTTCCCAATAAAGGGACTCCACCCACCTGTCCTGGTAGAATCATAGAATATCAGGGTTGGAAGGGACCTCAGGAGGTCATCTAGTCCAATCCCCTGCTCAAAGCAGGACCAATTCCCAACTAAATCATCCCAGCCAGGACTTTGTCAAGCCGGGCCTTAAAACCCTCCAAGGAAGGAGATTCCACCACCTCCCTAGGTAACGCATTCCAGTGCTTCACCACCCTCCTAGTGAAATAGTGTTTCCTAATATCCAAACTAGACCTCCCCCACTGCAACTTGAGACCATTGCTCCTTGTTTTGTCATCTGCCACCACTGAGAACAGCCAAGCTTCATCCTCTTTGGAACGCCTTTCAGGTAGTTGAAAGCAGCTATCAAATCCCCCCCTCATTCTTCTCTTCTGGAGACTAAACAATCCCAGTTCCCTCAGCCTCTCCTCATAAGTCATGTGCTCCAGACCCCTAATCATTTTTGTTGCCCTCTGCTGGACTCATTCCAATATTTCCACATCCTTTTTGTAGTGTGGGGCCCAAAACTGGACACAGTACTCCAGATGAGGCCTCACCAATGTCGAATAAAGGGGCAACCACTAGTCTCTTCCATGCCTCACCCTGGCCTTGGTAGTGGTGCCCTTTGGTAGTGGGTACTGCCAGGCATGCTGATATACTTCTCTCCCTGGTAGGCCTATACACTCAATGATGGATCTATATCTATATGATCTGATAAATGTCCTATATGTTTTCCTGGCTGAAGCCAATTAAAAATTATGGTAAATGCTACTTATCAGACAGGCTAGGATGTGTCCAACATCCCATGTACTCCACAGGCCACTCTACCCCCTACCCAGATGGATGTTTCTGATGAACTGATGATCAGGAGTAAAACACTTAAAATATTGGCCTTCAAATGGCAACATTAGGCTACAGAGTTTACACCCCCAATGGAGAGGTATTGCACTCAGCAAGGCAGCTTTTTATTGAGTCACATTGGGAAGGTCTTCTTGGCAACCAGAAGGTCTACAGATTTAATTCTAAAAAACCTAAAGCTTAAAAATTCCATCCAGCTAACATCTCCCCAGCTAGCCTTCTCCCACGAAGACACTGCAAATCAACTCACATATTCTAGGAAGCAGGAGCCGACCTCACTCAAGTGTGGATGGTCTTTGTTGAATTTCTTCTCCAGCGCTTTTACAAATTTTTTCTGGCATTTGTAAATGTCTTCGATGTTCCCAAAGATTGTCTTCAGCTGTTCTTCTGTAAACATGTCAGCCCTCTTGCGGCACTGCTTAATGTAACCCTGGGAGGAAGTCAGATTTTCAAGGTGTGTTGGGTATTTGCTCAAAGGCCTGGTCCACAGACCACTGGAGTCAATGGAAGACTCTCATTGACTGCAGTGGGTTTTAGATCAAAACACTATACCTTTCTAGTATGAGTCCGCTGTGCTTTTATTACTATTTCTGAAGGTACCATGCCTAAAAATGGCACACATGGAAATCAAACCATAGTCAGAAACATGCCTTGGATGACACTGCAACCCATGCTCAATGGTACAACCTGCGCTATAGAATCTTCTCCGGTAAATAACTAGCTGACTGTATGTGTACCAGATATTCTGGTTAAACCCAAAGGGTCAGATCCTCAGCTGGTATAAATCCACATAGCTCCATTGATGGAGTTATGCTGTTTTACACAAGCTGAGGATCTGGGCTTGAATATACTAGAGTCCTTGGATAAAACTGTCTCTGTTTCGCCCCAGTTGGCTTCCTCTGTCCATCCCGGATGAGGCTGCAGCTCAGTGGTGTTTTAGATATGTATTTTGCGAAGTGTTTGGGGAGGAAAGGTCCTATGTCCATGCAAAGCTGTTATCACCAATCATCACCACATGGCATGTCTCTTGTTAAAGGAGATGTCAGAATATTCAGCATGTTCAGAAGTGAATGCTCTAATAGGCCGAACATTCCCCAGAGTTTGGATCTATGAGTATATGAATTGCATGAAAACTGGTATTTCTGTTCATGCCACCTCTCACCATTTATTAATAAAGAATATAGTGGTGCTAGTATTCTAGTCTTCTTGGCTTGGGAAATTCAGTTCATTACATTTCATCAGGACTCCTCTTTGTGCTCCAAATAAAGGGGCATTTGGGATATTCCTGGAATGAATCAGTATTCTCCATTTCCTGAACATGCACAGTGATTACAGAGGGGGTAGGCAGAGGGTATATGACAGGTATATGACAGAGAGACAACTCTGCTAACCGAGGGTTCTTTTCTTAAGGGAAGAAGAGTAATTTGCAGCTAGAGAGAGAAGAAGAGCACAAGACAGCTTAGTAGGGTGGGGGCTGGGGATCTTTCCCTTCTGAAGTGGGTTCAGTTCATGCATTTGGGTCACAACCATTCTATCTGCCCCTTATGCTCTCCTTTCACAGCCTGGTTACCTCACAGATGTCCTTCAGGTGTTTGATGTAGTCTCTCTCTGTGCTTATGATCTCGTTGATAACATTGGTCCTCATTTGGTCCTTGCTGGTCTGCCCCACTCCATAACGCCGGGCGGCGGTGCTGGCATCCTCCTCTTTGCCGTCCTCTGCCTTCATAGGATAGTCTTCCATGGGTTCATCTTGGTTCACTCGGAGCTGTGTCAAACACACATGGGTTTCCATTGGGTAACAGTCCCTGTTTTTACTCTCTCATCTTGCCTGGGTCACTAATTCAGATCCTTCTACCACCAAGAAGGACATGTTGGAGGACAGCAAGGCTGCTGTGATGGGCACTTCCTCCCTGTCACATTCCTAGAGCCCACACATGGGTTAGTCAGTGTCCTCCAGAATTAATTCTATGAAATATCCAGAACCTGGGCCCAGAGATTGGCCAGGGGAGGGTGGAGGGAGTTCTAGTGATAGGGATAGCTAGTTTCAGTCAGTAGACCTTGCGGTTTGCTCCATAGACCTTGGAGGGGCTGAGAATATGGCAGAGGATAGGTATTCAGCACCTGGGGGATGCCTTCATGTCACCCAGCCACTGCTCCCGTTAACTAAGGTGTGACATTGATGGGCTCCCTCTTGGATGGAAGGATCACAGATGTGATGTGAGGAAATACATATAAATCAAGGGAAAGCACCTCAATAAATGATTTACTAGTCAAGTCTGAGGGTTTTTTATGGGGTGGGTTTAGGGGAATAAATCAATAGATAAATTCTGCTTTGATAGTCTCTGTTAAGGAGTAAATTAAAGGACACTCATTACTTACAAGGTAAATAACAGTAATAAAACATTTCTTTATATGAATTGAATACAGATGCCAGTGGGCAAGTAATGCCATATGAAGAGACAGCTCAAGGCTGCGTCTGACGAAGTGGGTATTCACCCACGAAAGCTTATGCTCCAATACATCTGTTAGTCTATAAGGTGCCACAGGACTCTTTCTTGCTTTTTACAGCTCCAGACTAACACGGCTACCCTTCTGATACTTGACACATTTAATATGAGACTCATGCTTCTTTCAGTATGGCCACTAGATGGCAGCACAGCATGAATATTGGCAAAAATATCAGACATTTTCGTAGAGGACTTGCTGTACACAGTCTACCTTATCAGCTGTACTAAAATCACTGTTAGGTAGTTCCAGGCAATTTTCAATTCAGTTCTTTTATACAGTACTGCCATAGCACATATTTAACTGTCTCAGGTTACCCCATTTGGATATCTAATACCATTTAGAAAAATATCATATAAAATGCTTAGGAAAGAACAAAGAAAATTCAAGCAAGGAACATGCAACATCATTTTGCAAATGTCCATTCCACTTCAGCCATTTTAGTGCTACAAATATTGCAATGATACAAAGAGTTTGTTTAGATTTCTACATAGTTAAAATTTATTAAGATGTGATAATCCTATCTATACCCACACATTATTGACACATTGTCAACATTATTGACAAAAGCTGATGGATCAAAGATGTGGGACGCCGATTTTCCTTCATTGCTAGCAGGAGAGCATGGACCAGCAAAACCAGTGCAAACTCCATGTTAGACCCACAACTAAAACGACTGCGTAGAATCAAGGAAGTCTGACAGTTCAGATTAGCTGGAGTTGCTTTGATACTCCCTTCCCTAAAGCTCTTACCTGAAATAGATCAGAGGTCAAGTGATAATTGGCAATGCTTGAGTTGCCTGAGCAAGGAGCCATCAACTATTGCAGTAGGAGAAGTTGGCATCCTGCCCTTTTAAAGGCCAGCACTGACAATGCCTGTCAGCAACAGATACGCTGTCTCACCACAGGTTTTTACCACTCAGGAGGGACATGGGTCCAACTTATAGACAACGACCTGAAGCTCCTCCAACACAACCTCAGTGTGGAGCTCAAGCAGAAAAGACTTTCCAGAAACCAGTTCTGTCCCCATGGAAGGTCAGAACTGGCTCCACATCCAAGTGATCTTATTTACAAACTACAACATTTTATCATCTGGAACAGGTCTTCGGCTAGGGACTAAGGATGCTAAGGAGGAAACAAGGAACCTCTTCTTTGCCTCCTGCACAGCCCTAGCAAAAGATTTCAAAACTTTTATGTCCCAATCAGTCAGACTCCCAACCAGGACTTTTGCTATAGGCATAAATACATAATTTGTATCAGGTAATTTGCGTGAGGACAAATAACTGAGAATCCAGATATCCTGACAGACCTGAATTTCCCCATATCAATTCTCAGTTAATGTAGTCGTGCTGAAGCAGTGATGCAGAGCTGGGATTCCATACTGAGAACTGCAGCTCACACAATGGAATGAAAATTCCCTCTTACCTGGAAAGGGAAGGAAAATATGTGGCCTATGCACTGAATCTGCCTGGGCTCTTGTTCTCCCCCATAAGTAAGGAGAACTCGGATGGCCCAGCAAACCAGCAGTAAGGAATCCCACTTCTGCACTATCCAAACCACAGACTACACTTCTGGAGCTCACATTTTGTCCACCAAGTCTGTCACATCCAATAAATGGGGCTTGTAGGGCCAGATCCTCAGCTGGTGTAGGTTCGGCATGGCTCCATTGATTTCAATTCAATTATGATGCTTTACAGTCACTGGGGATTTGGGCCTACCATGACAAATGGAGAGATCCACTGAGGCTTCAGTTCAGGACAGCATAGGGTTGCCAACTGTCTAATCACACAAACCCAAATACCCTTGCCCCGCCCCTTCCCTGAAACCCTGCTCCTGCTTCACCCCGTTCACTCCATCCTGCAGCGCTCGTTCTTCCCCACCCTCACTCACTTTCAGTGGGGCAGGGGGTTGGGGTGAAGGAGGGGGTGTGGGTTCTGGTATGGGGCCAAGGTGTTCGGAGTGTGGGAGGGGGCTCCAGGCTGAGCCTGGGGCAGAGGGTTGGGGGGCAGGAGGGGGTGTGGGGTGCAAGCTCTGGGAGGGAGTTTGGGTGTGGAAGGGGGCTCAGAGTTGGGCCAGGGGATTGGGATGTGGGAGGGGGTTCAGAGTGTGGAGGGAGTATGGGGTGCTAGCTCTGGAAGGGAGCTCAGGGCTAGGCAGTGGTTTGGGGTGTGGGAGGGGTGAGGGGTGCAGGCACCGCCCCCGCAGCTCCCATTGGCCACAGTTCCCGGCCAGTGGGAGCTGCGGAATCGGTGCTCAGGGCAGAGGCAGTGTGCGGAGACTCCTTACCCACCCCCCACCACCAGGGACATGCTGGCCACTTCAGGGAGTGGGGCAGCCCGCTTTAGCCCCGCTGCGCCACCGGACTTTTAGCGGCCTAAAATCTCCCTGTTTGGCTTCAGTAGCCTCCGGGAGATAGAGTCCGATTCCAGGAGACTCCCGGCGAAACCAGGAGGGTTGGTAACCCTAGCACAGCATTATTAAAGAGAAACAACAATGTACATGGCTCTGATCACCAGCACATTCTACACCAAATCACCTCCAACCATGGAAGTGCTTGGGGCACTCCTATCAGGGAGCTGGTGTTAACAGACTGGGGTTAAAAACAATGTTTAGGTCCTTACCCGTACAAAGCTGGCTGGAAACCAGCCTTCGCTGTCCAGGATCCTCCCCCACCACCACTCCTTGTTGGTAGCATCCATCACTTCGATGACATCGCCAGCCTTGAATCCCAGCTCTTGGTCATCCATCGTGACATGATCCCAGAGGGCTTCTGCGTACACCACGCTGCCATCGCTGATGAGCTGGGAACAGAGCAAGTAAAGCATTGGCAACCAGTTACCTCCAACAGAAGCATTTCACTCAACTAGCACTCTCTGAACACAGGCCTTGTTCCAGATCTCTGCCACAAATGGCACAAGTCACCCCACTGTGAACAGGAGGAGGACAGAACCATGCTGCCTTCCCTGCACACACACTCACAGTGTCCAGCAAAAGACAGCATGTTCCAAGCTTTGGAAGGCTGACACTGTTGTGTGAACTCCTGGTTTCCAGGGGCTCATGCTGCAGTGTAGTTCCAGTATGGGCCCAGTTTAAAGCCTCAATCTGGTTCTTATTCTAGTGTGAATAAGAACCTTCAAATCCTTGCAGTAGCACAAGAATTTAAAGCACATTCATTTCTTAGTGCAGTTCATAGGGCTGACTAGTGACTATTTCAAATGGCACCTCCTTACTGAAATGACCTGCCCTGCACCCTCTGTGTATTCAGAGTCATCTCTGCTGACTAGGCCCCAAATCAGATTTTATTGCTTTAGAGCCCTTCAGAAGCAGCGAAGTGACAAGAAGCCAAGTCCATTCTCGCTCATGCTTCATCAACAGAATTACTAAGTGCCAACTGCACAGCCAAACTGTGCTCTCTATTGCATCTGATCCACCCCAGTTTGAGACAGTGAGAGGTGCTGGGTAAATGAGGCAGATTTGGGATCAGAGTTGTTGTTATTGGTGATTATGCATTAGCCTGAAAGAACAGAGCATGCATTTTAGATCTCAGAGCACATTTGTGGCACCAGGTCATATTTGCTAAGGAAGCCCTTGAGATACAAAAATGGAACCCAATGGTAGCATTTTTACAGAACCACTTTTCAGAACAGAAAGTACCCCACAGTGACCTAAGATTTTATGCTGCTTTTAGGGTGGTTAAAATTAGCACTTAAGCCTCTTTAAGTAAGTCCTCAAAGGAAAATAAATGCTTAAGCTTAGGGTCAACTGGTTATTAACATATATCAAAAAGTGCTTACTTTGGAAAAAATGCACATATGCTCAGCCCAGCTCTTTGGGCGAACAATCACTTGCATTTAAGGAATGATTCTACTGCGTGTATTCAGTATGTAATTTTCAAATGATCGCTACTTTCTTACTTTCCAAACAATTTGTTTAAAACTTAGTCTTGGACATACTCCTCACTGAGGACTATTTACATGCCATGGTTGAGTCATTTTTCAATGATCTGTGTGACAAAACAGAGCAGCAAGTCCTTATAACCATGGGGACAATAGTCCTTCCCTGCACCCACTCATGATTCAGTAACATCAGAGGAGGTTCACTTCAAACATTCAAAGTAAAAGCTCTGCTCTGGCAGAGACGAAGCCTGGAAAACTTCAACCCTAAAAGATCATTTAAAAAAAAATGCATGAAGAAGTAAAAGCAAGGGACCATAAGGAAAATCTTTGTATCCTGCACTGTGATAGTCACTACCAAGGGAATGTCCAGCTGTATTTTACCTACAAGTCCACCCTGATTTGTTGCATCAGAGACTTTCCCATTAACCTTAACCTCTGGAGAACAACATTTATGGGCTTTCATCAGGGACATGACTAAGAATAACGGCCTAGACATCTATGCGAGTCTGTGAACCTTTGGGGGCTCCCTTCCTAAGAGGTCAAAGAAAACACAGGACTCCTCCTGTTATGATTTGGTTAGGGAAGTGTCCCCAAACAGTCTAATCCAATGTAGAGGGGGGTGTGAATCCTGATTTTCTGTAACCCCATTGTGCAGTGCTAGCCTCTGGAAGGTGGGTGGCATGAACAGTCCCTGAGAGGATGGGAAAGGAGAAAACTTGTGTGTACACCTCTACCCCGATACAACGCTGTCCACAGGAGCCAAAAACTCTTACCGCATTATAGGTGAAACCGTGTTATATCGAACTTGCTTTGATTCGCTGGAGTGCACAGCCCCGCCCCCCCAGAGCACTGCTTTACCGCGTTATATCCGAATTCGTGTTATATCGGGTCGCATTATATTGGGGAAGAGGTGTACGTGTAACCCACACACCTTCTGGGTGTGGTGTTCTGTCCTATCTAGTGGCACTGAAACCACTTAGAGAGAGAGCAATTAATGAGTCTGCTCTACAGCCCTAGCTAACAGCCAGTTTGCTTTTAGCTCATGTGGTAGAGGTTCACGCACTAAGCTCCAGAGGTTCCTGGTTCAATCCCACCCGCCACCGACCAAGGTCTGTTGGCGTTACATATGGTTCAATGACAAAGTTATTTATTATACCCAATACCCCGTCTTCAGTCATGTTAATAATCTCTTCTGAAATATTATCTCCGTATCCATCCACTGTGCTGTATAGCCCAGCATCGGCTATGATATGCACCTGAGGTTGATTATATTTTTCCAGGCACAGTTGATCACATCCTGTGTTACTATTTTTTTTTTTGATTTGGTACCAATACAAATAGTACATGGACAAAAAAAGCAGGGGATCTTGTGCATGCTACAGGATGCAGAACAGGAGGCAATAGAGCTAGTTGCATTTTTTAAAAAACAAAATTATTTTGGATGGGAAATGCTTTTTTATCGAAACCAAAATGTTTTGTGGCAATGTATCTGTTTCGCCAAAATGTTGCAAGGAAGATTTATCAGGTCCAGGTGAGGGAGGGAGAGAAAGATTCCTGGAATAGCCAATAGCCCATTAGTTTGGGCACTCACCTGGGTGGTGGGAGACGTAGGGACAAGTCCCAGCTCTGAATATGGCAGGGTGGGTACCTGGGTCTCTCACATCCCAGGGGAGTGCCCTAACCACTAGGCTATTTTGGGGTGAGAGAACAACTTGCTGTAGTTTTTTCACAACATAGATTCATAGATTCTAGGACTGGAAGGGACCTCGAGAGGTCATCGAGTCCAGTCCCCTGCCCGCATGG